AACAATGGCCCTCGGCCTCAGCGTGATTCCACATCACAACGGCCCTCGGCCTCAACATCAGAATGGCCCTCGGCCTTAGCGTGACTCTACGCCACAACGGTTTTGGCCTTAGCGTGATCTCACATCACCAACGGCCCTCGGCCTCAGCGTGATTCCACATCACAACGGCCCTCGGCCTCAACGTCAGAATAGCCCTCGGTCTCAAAATCAACAATGGCCCTCGGCCTCAACATCATACGGCCCTCGGCCTCAACATGACTCTATGTCATAACGGTTTTGGCCTTAGCGTGATCTCACATCACCAACGGCCCTCGGCCTCAGCGTGATTCCACATCACAACAGCCCTCGGTCTCAAAATCAACAACGGCCCTCGGCCTCAACATCAACAACGGCCCTCGGCCTTAGCGTGATTCCACATCTCAATGGCCCTCGGCCTGAACATGACTCTATGTCATAACGGTTTTTGCCTTACATGATTTCACATCACCAAAGGCCCTCGGCCTCAACGTGATTCAACATCAACAACGGCCCTCGGCCTCAGCGTGATTCCACATCACAACGGCCCTCGGCCTCAACATCAGAACGGCCCTCGGCCTCAACATCAACAACGGCCCTCTACCTCAGCATCAGAACGGCCCTCGGCCTCAACATCAACAATGGCCCTCGGCCTCAACATCAGACGGCCCTCGGCCTCAACATGACTCTATGTCATAACGGTTTTTGCCTTACATGATTTCACATCACCAAAGGCCCTCGGCCTCAACGTGATTCAACATCAACAACGGCCCTCGGCCTTAGCGTGATTCCACATCACAACGGCCCTCGGCCTCAACATCAGAACGGCCCTCGGCCTCAACATCAACAACGGCCCTCTACCTCAGCATCAGAACGGCCCTCGGCCTCAACATCAACAATGGCCCTCGGCCTCAACATCAAACGGCCCTCGGCCTCAACATGACTCTATGTCATAACGGTTTTTGCCTTACATGATTTCACATCACCAAAGGCCCTCGGCCTTAACGTGATTCTACATCAACAACGGCTCTCGGCTTCAGCGTGATTCCACATCACAACGGCCCTCGGCCTCAATATCACAACGGCCCTCGGCCTCAGCGTGATTCCACATCACAGCAACCCTCGGCCTTCATCCCTCCGACATCTTTATTTGATGTCGGGGGCAATCACACAGGTCCCTCGGCCTTCATCCCTCCGGCATCTTTATTTGATGCCAGGGGCTATCATACAGGCCCATCGGCCTTCATCCCTCCGGCATCTTTATTTGATGTCGAGGGCCATCACACAGGCCCCTCGGCCTTCATCCCTCCGACATCTTTATTTGATGTCAGGGGCTATCATACAGGCCCATCGGCCTTCATCCCTCCGGAATCTTTATTTGATGTCGGGGGCAATCACACAGGACCCTCGGCCTTCATCCCTCCGGCATCTTTATTTGATGCCAGAGGCTATCATACAGGCCCATCGGCCTTCATCCCTCCGACATCTTTATTTGATGTCGAGGGCCATCACACAGGCCATCGGCCTTCAGCCCTCCGGCATCTTTATTTGATGCCAGGAGCTATCATACAGGCCCCACAGCCTTCATCCCTCCGACATCTTTATTTGATGTCGGGGGCCATCACGAAGACCCCTCGGTCTCCATCCCCCCGACATCTGTATTTGATGCCAGGGGCTCTAACACAAGCCAGCCTGGCCTTGCACCCCTCCGTCACCTTTATTTGATAACGGGGGGGAGGGGTCCTTACAAGCTCCTTAGCTTTTTCATGCAGGATCTAAGGCTGATCTTGGATATCCCTTCAGCAAACGGATACAACTGCCACTCAACAATCAAGGCCGAAGGGTGCACTCCTTTTGCTTCATTCTGAGGGCATCCGGTGTACTCTTTTTCCCTCATTAGGATTTTTTTCCCACAGGGTTTTTTCCTAATGAGGTTTTTAACGAGGCATCTCCCCATTGTGGAACAAAAGGCGACACCCCTCGGCGGCTCCTGCTGAAGGCATGCATCACTCTACTCCTATTTCCCTCGAGAAAATCTCGGCAAAAGGAGTGGGGGACTGGGGGACTCCCCTCGGCAAAACACGCAAATGTTAAAAATTTTCTATTTCTCAGCTACAGCAAGCTGAGGCAAGATCACAACGGCAATCTACTCCCCTCGACATGATGCTTTCGGCTTACAGAATGCCTCCGGCCACACAATGCCTTCGGCCACATGATGCCTCCGCCCACACAATGCCTTCGGCCATATGATGCCTCCGGCCACACAATGCTTTCGGCCACATGATGCCTTCGGCCACATGATGCCTCCGGCCACATGATGCCTTCGGCCACACAAAGCCTTCAGTCAACAAATGCCCTCGGCAAAGCACACAAATGCAGATCTCTCATTACTTTACAAACTACAACAAAGAAACACATACGAGCAACACACTTACACTCCCTTCAGGAAGCTCTCAGCCCTCGATATATGGGGGAATTGAGAAAATGAGGCACCCAACAGAACAGGAAAGCCTTCGAGGAAATCACCACAGCTACTCCTTTTCCCTCAAGTACCTTTCGGCAAATAGAGTGGGGGACTCCTGATAGAGTATATGGCCCAGGGACCCCCGGCCCACATACTTCCTCTACTACAATCAGGCCCAACAGGCCCAAACGGGCCAAGCCTAGAAAAATGGAGCTCTAAGCAGCCCACAATACGCAAAGGGGTGCCTTTGGCCCCATGGCCGAAGGCTACCAGTGACGGAATCGAGCTCAGAAACATCACAGGAGAACAAGGCTTGAAAACCAAGCCTTCGGCAACTGCAGCCCTCGGCAGGTAGGATCCCTCGGTTAGAAGAGGCATCACAGGAGAACAAGGCTTGAAAACCAAGCCTTCGGTAGCTGCAGCCCTCAGCAGGTAGGAGCCCTCGGTTAGAAGAGGCATCACAGGAGAACAAGGCTTGAAAACCAAGCCTTCGACACCTGCAACCCTCGGCAGGTAGGAGCCCTCGATTAGAAGAGGCATCACAGGAGAACAAGGCTTGAAAACCAAGCCTTCGGCACCTACAGCCCTCGGCAGGTAGGAGCCCTCGGTTAGAAGAGCCTTCGGCCCAGCACCCTTCAGCCGAAGGCATCCACCTCGACAGAATATCCTCTTCACATGTGTCTGGATCACCGTACCAAGTACAAACGTCACATCCAACCACCGCATTTAATGCGGCCACATGCGAGTGCCAGTGCCACCCCGGTCGAGGTGACCCCTCGACCACCAGAAAACTGACACGTGTCCTTATCTAGCATTTATTACTACTATAAATAGCACCTCTTTCCCCCATTGTAAACCACGCTTAATACATATCGAATATACACTCTCTCTCTTACTTATTTGCTCTGACTTCTCTCTAGTTATTCTCCGCAATAACCCCTCGGATAAGCTACCCCCCGGGTACACTATCCATCAGTATGATTTTTCTTAAATAGGACTAAATATTACATTTCTACACCTAATTCAATTAATTAATACTTTGTATAATTAATGAATTAATTCCACTTTAGCTCCTCCGAGTTTTGTATCATTTCCATATTTAGTCCTCGTCTTTCACTTTATCCATTTTTGGTACTTTACTATTGTTTTCTTGACCATTTGTGGTCCATTTCTGAGCATTTTTACTATCGGAAAAAGACTATATATGGTCAAAAAAACAATAGTGAGGTACAAAAAATGGATAAAATGAAAGACGAGGACTAATCGTGGAATTGGTGCAAAACTCGAAGGACCATAAGTGGAATTTCTTCTATAATTAATTGCCCCAAGTTCCTTTGCATTAACCAAAGTCAGTTTTTAGGTGGTGGATCAGTCCAATGTTGATGGTGATGAATTCTGGTGACGAAGGCTGAGAGGCAGATTGTTATCGGTGATCAAGGTGAAAACTCCATCGGCCCAGCTGCGACGGCCCAAATTTAACAGTCTATGGACGTTTTGAAAGACTATATAAACTTATCCATGTGTTTAAAAGTCAATATAATTCATTCATAAAAAAGTGTATAAATTTAAAAGTCCATTGACTTTTCTAAAAGTTCATGGATTAAAAAAAGTTCACCACAATCTATATACTCTCTCCGTTTCTAAAAGAAACTCACACTTTCCTTTTTGAGATGTTTCAAAAACGAAGTCACACTTCCCTTATTTCCTTATTTGGCAAAGAAAATCTACATCCAAACAGTGCCAAATAGTGCGTAACAATGCCAAACAGTGTCAAACAATGTCTAAACAGTTTTTCTACAGTAAAGTCAATTTATTTCCTTAATAATCGTGAAGTCAAATTGTGACTTTCTTTTGAAAACAGATGGAGTATAATACATGTCGTTAGTACATTTTGCGCTTTTCATAGGGACTTTATGGGTTAAATACTTCAAATAGTTCAAAATATACATAGGGAGAGGAACCAACCAACCACTAATTCACCTAGACTACGGAAGCAAGGACAACCAACCATTAATACGGAGTATTAATCTAGGCCTCACAGATTCACAGACCCCTAACAAAATTACCCAAACGTACTAAAAAAAGGACAAGTATATATAATCCGCATAATTATACGGACTATATTAATTAAGATCAGAAATTATATTAGGATAGTTTTTCAACTACCAGTCGCATGATGCCTTCTCTGTTTGGATCATTTCCGTCTCCCGCGCAAACACGTTGGGAACATTCTCAAAGAGTAATGTAATTGATGTTTAAAAGTTGGCATGCACCACATTCTAAAAAAACTGCTCCTACAAGTCATTCTGGAGCGCTTAAAACTATTTATGCACTTTTACCCAAACATTGATATTTATTTCTTCTTTCTTGAGGAGAATAAGCAGTTTTAAGAAGTAATCTAAACACACTCTAAATAGAAGTTTAAATCTAAAGAAAAAACAATTCCTTTATATATAAACATTCATAAAACATGAATGCATTTGCTAGGTTCTAGATATGTGACTTTAAGGTACGTACGTACCATGTAATCTGTGTAGGTCTTCCTCACAATGGCCACGAAGTAGGGATGTGGAGCAGACATATTGACATAAGTGAACCTATTTTTCCGGGCTCCGCCTCCCTTTTCCTCTTCCTCTTCATCTTCCTCTTCACTTTCTGTACTATTCTCACTCTTGGGGGGTTCTACTGCAGGATGAAGATATTCAAGAAAGAAGGTCAGATAAAGAAAACGAGGAGATCATTAATTCTATATATGAATAATATTTGAACTTGAGGCCATTTTGGATTGTGTCCGAGTTGCATAGCCATGTGACCTCTGACTAGATATCTTGGCTTTTCCTGAGGGAGTATCGAAGTCAATAGATTTCTTTGCTTTTCTTGGGGGAGTATCAATCTCATCATCATCATCATCATTGGTGGAAGGTGACGATGGCAATGCAACGATTGCACGAGTAGTTTTCTTATCCGATGATGATGATGTGTGGGTTTCATGACTAGTAGTATTATCAGATGATGATACATCAGTTACATGAGTTGTAGTTTTTTTATGATTAAGACTGACAATATTTCTAATAAGGCGAATAAAGTGGATCAACCTCTTTTTGGCTTCGGCCAAACACTTTTTCTCGATGGTCGAGCAAGACAAGAAGTCGTTTGGCTAAAAAGCAGCACTTCAAACTCAAATTTTCCAACAAGAAAAAACACAATAAGGTCTCCATAGTGTAGGTTATGATCTCTAGCGAAACGTTCCCAATCTTTTTTGCAGAAGAAAGAATCTTTTCCATGGGTCTCTATCTTCATTTTTGTCGACGCTCCATCTTCAATCTTCAGAGTCCAACAACTCCGATCCAGCTCTGGTTTATGTGCTGCCGTGAACTTCCAAGGCACAATCTGCTTATTTATCAATTAAGGTAAAGGAATAAAGGAAACTACTTTCAGTAAAACCGTCATATCTTTCTGAGCTACTTTTTTTTCTAATTATACTCCACTGTATAAGAAACTAAAACAGGAATAAAATGCACGTATAAAAAGTTAGAGAATGTTTATTTTATTTTTTAAATAGTACTCCGTAAAATTTTTATAAAATGGGTGTCATTGATGGGAAGAAAACTATCATACTTTTAGTTCAAAAAATATTATACTACTATGTATTACGTGATACTGAGCCAATATTCTAAAATAAAGGAAGAATAAATATGGTCCCTAAATAAGTTGCCCGTATTAAAAAACGTGTGACTTCCAAAATAGCAGCCTTGACCAATATGCATGATGAATATGTCAATAAATAAATTCAATGTCTGATTACACAAGTAAAAAACACTCCATAGTCTCAAGTGTAATAAATTCAATAAATAAAGTTTTCTTCTCTTCCAACTTGCTCAAGTGTACTTTAGCAGCTACAATCTATCCATAGTCTATTATTCCACTACTCTCAATGTTTACAACATCTGAACATCCTTAATCTCATATTCCATCAGCTCTGCTCTAATTCTCCTTTAATCATCTTGTAATCCATCGATGATAAAGTTTTGCTAGTATCTGTGTCAATCAGTCCAAAAAAGTAGATAAAAAAACGTAAATACTTTTGTCGCATTGCGATTCAACCACAACCCAGAATTAAAAACTAATTGCTCCACTAAAAATTAATGAAGTTGAAATATTTTTGCTCAACATAACTTTTGTAGGTACAGTGAGGAGTCCATCCATTATTAACGTAAATCTTCTTAATTTTTCTTTTATATAACCAACTTTTATCAAATACTCCCTCCATAAAGTTAATTGATTCTCACGCCATTTACGATGTTTGACTGACCATAAAGTTAATTGATCCCTGTCATTAATCGAATTATTTTTAGTAAATAATATTTACATATTCAGAAACTACATTAAAGCCGCTACAAAACCTACAAAAATAATTTAAATTTCATAAAATTTTGATATACTAAAGATTTAAAAACAATGCACGTTGACCAGAGAATAGTGGATGAGAAACTTTAAATAGAACGGAGGGAGTATGTTTTTTGTAACTTGGAACTTTTAATGTACTTTTTGAATATGTAAATTTTATTTACTAAAAATAGTCTTATTATTGACATGAATCAATTATTTTTATGGTCACTCAAATATCGTAAATTGTGTGACAACCTTTTAATTGTGAGAGATGGAGTATGTTTATTTAATTGTATTCGCATATATGTCTATTCTTGTTATTTGCATAATTATTTTCCTTAACATTTAATTTTTTAAAGCATTTATGTTATGAGACTTATTGATTATTTATGTTTTTGATGAGTGGATTTCAAAATTTAATGGCAAAATTGATCATTTTTTATTTAAGATTTTTTAAAGATATCTTTCAACCAATTAAATTAATGTCAGATTCTAATCTTATTGTAAGAAGAAAATGCATATACTCCCATTTTAAAAAAATTCTTAGATTTTATTCCCATCTTTAAGTAGTTTCTAGTGGGGTCAAAGGTCGCAACGGTAAGGACTCATTTGGTTCAGGGAATGTTAGATTATCATAAGAATGTTTGATTGTTGGGTATGTTAGATTAATGAGAATGTATTTAGGTTATTCTCATTTCTGTTTGGTTACTTAGGATTAAGGGAGGCCTCGACTCGATCGCGGAATCTCCATGTAGATGCACTCGTCACATAAGTGTATACCTGACCTCTTCACTCGTAAACTACTCAGCGCCTCAGCCATCGCGACTCGCAACCTCTAACTTCGAACAAGATGGACTTGTTTATGAACATTAGTACATTACTCATTAGTCATTAGGGTTAGTTTGTTTGAATGTTACGTAGCTGAAACTTAGAAGGTTATAGTGAGTTTGGGAAATTGGACCTTTATTTTTTTATTTTGGTATTTGTAATCAGCCTAAGTATTAATTTTGGGTTTCAAAATTGTCATGGACATTTACAATATATTTATATAATATAAAGTAACAAAGTTGAGGCAACAATTGAAGGAAAAAATTCCGCCCAAAATAAGGGTATAATAGTAAATTTATGAAAAACGTAATTTAGTAATTAATTGTGTTAAGTGTATGTTAGGAAAGAAATGAATAATTAATATTCAGCTGCCTATCCTTAAAAAAAACAGCCCCCTATAATTTTGAAAACTGAATTTGTACGTTTTCCTTACCATATACTCCCTAGATAGTACTACGTATGTATACTACATTACTACATAGTACGTACAAAGCAAAGTTGAAACTTTGGAACCACAAAGGTAATTACTTTGATTCTAAAATTGATTGAATTGGTGGTATTAATTAATGCTTAATAAGGATGTTTTCTTTTGGACTATTTTCAGTCCTAGACCATATCAGATCAGACCAGACCAGACCAGATCAGATCACATCAGACTTGACTTCCGTAGTTATGAAATACAGAGAGACCAGACGTTTACCAGACCAGATCAGACCAGACCAGACCAGACCAGACTAGACCAGCAAATTTCAATCCAAAAGAAAACTTCCTAAATTTTAAATAAATTGGCGGGTGAGTGAATACTTGACACCACCCAATTTATTATGAATATTAGTATTTAATAATTACATTTAAATATGTATGACACATCTATCATCTCTTTATCTGTTTATTGTATTTTACAATATATGATAAAATAATTCATCTATGTGTAGTAATATACGTATAATATTGACCATTATAAAATAATGATCATGTCCAAACGGATGGACATGTCTGACCGCCGCTATTTGGGATGATTTCCGCTGTTTTTTAATTACATGAGATGTAATAACCATGTTGTTCATGAATTGTAGTTTATGCCATAAAATTTCAGCTCAAATTTCAATCCGATCATATTGTGCTTAACTATATATATAAAATCGCAATATTTTTTCAACGATTTATATAATTGACTTCCTACAAAAGTGCAATTTTGTAGACATAATCTACGCTACATTAAGAACATGCCTAAAAAATTCATGAAGAAATCCTACTGAAATTCTCTCCGAACGACAGCGGTCCGACGAAGGATCATGTCGAGATGGTTGGACATGATCCTTCATGTTGACCATTAATATCTCATATATAGATAAATAACTAACCAAATAAACAATATATTGACACATTAGGCAGTCCAAACCAGCCACCCATTATTTTTATATACTTTGTATAAGATAATTAGAAAAATGTATTCCCGCCTACCAAGGACAGTATAAATATTTGGTATCAATGATATGTATGATTACTTTCTAATAATCTTTACCTTTTATATGATACGGAGTACTTCATACCGTATAAAGTACTCCGGAAAAAAGTTCATCCAATTTGGCTTCAATTTTAATACAAATAATTATATATGTGACTAAAATAAGTGTTGCATTATTTACAAAAATATGACCTCATAGATAGTAGTAATTTAATCACAGTAAATTATGTTAAATTTTTATACAGACTTTGACATTATGCAGTAGTAATTATTAGTCAAATTTTAGTAAATAAGTTCTATTTCAGTAATATTTTTGAAAAAAACTCCATTTTAATATATCAAGGAATAAAAAAATAATGGGTTTAGTGATGCCAATAAGTTAATTAAGAATCATAAGAAATTTTGCATCATATTGGGCACAAATAACTTTATTTAATCAATACGACTATCTCTGCTTTTATGAACCAGATGGAAATTTATAGAGCTATGTAAGAGTCCATTTAGTGACACATCTTTTCAGATTATCGACCGTAACAACCAACATTTTCATAAAACACGTAACTTTTGATTAACGCGCTGAATTGTGTAATAATCAAAATAAGTAAGGTTGTAATTACTTTTCTCATTGAATTGGTTGTAGTATTATAAAAGACTATTTTAGCTATGTTTTAACTACGTATAATGTTATCAATATTTAATTAATAAAATATATTATAATTATTATTATTATTTAGCAGATTCAGTCAATTCATTCAGAACTTCATCAATATTAGCAGAATTTGCCGATTCGGCCAATTTCAATATTACCATACATGCTCTAGATATGAGCAATATTTCACATTTTTATGTGATTAAAAATAAGACACACATTCAGCTATGATTGCTTAGTGTATTAAAATTGTATAATATTTCTATATTTCCTTACGATTATCATTATTTTTATAATTAAGGTAGTGTTTTTTCCTGCCCAATGAAAGCAATAATGTTGTTGCATATGATGCTATGATATGACATTGATTTTGAAACTTTCTCAATATGACTCCCATTAACTTTGAAGACATTGGCATGTTATCACTTCAACAAGAAATGGGGTTGTGGTGCGGTTCTTAACGTAAGTCGATGAATTGAAAAGTTTCTCAACTTTAGTGCTCAAAATAGGAAATGGAAATATTGAGTGTCATGGATGGAGGTGTCGTCATTGGTATACCCGATGATATATTTATTACCACTTCGGATGAACCTATTAGCTCAATTGGTGTCAGGACAATATCCATCATTTCCGGAGAATATGACTGATCTATGATATTTTCAGCGAATGTCTATTTTGACACGAACAATTGATGTTTTTGAGCTTATCAACAAGTATATGATTTCACTTATGTATTTCGAAATGAAGACATATTTGAGTTTTGATAGTCCATGTTCACATCAAGGTAATATTGATGTTGAATCCGATGAAATGCATATTCAAATGTTCTTGAACACCATCATGGCATCAGGGATACCAAACCATACATTTGGAATATAAGTTGAGGTTCTTATTATGCTAATAATGAGAAGTAAAATGCTAAAGGTACCCCAAAGTTGTACCCCATTTTTACCCCACCCCTAATTGTGTGGCTATAAATGGGGCAACTCATTTAAGTGGTGGTCCACTTAAATGAGTTGCCCCATTTATGGCCACACATTAGGAGTGGGGTAAAAATGGGGTACAACTTTGGGGTACCTTTAGCACAGCTCTAATGAGAAACAATGAAAATCTTCTAACTTAAGT